GGATCAAACATGTCATCTAAATATTTTAGAAATGAATATATCATGTCATGTATTGTAAAAAGAGTATCTTCTAACTTGCATCAAGGTTGGCGTTCATGGTTCTTTTATTTTACTTATAATACCGTGATTTCATATATTTTTTTCTTGTCGGCAAAATAATATCCAGCTCGCAGACTATCGCAGGCCAAAATCCAGGTTTTGTGTATATAATCGAACAAGTTTTTATATCAATTGTTTCTATTTCTCCGGTTGAAAAGCAATAATCAACCGCTACCACGAGCAGTCAGTTATCTGGGCCTTTGGCAGGAACCTTTCGAGATGTAAACTTCGGGCCAGGGCAATGAGCTGCCTTGCGTTCCCTTTCTGTCGAAGAACCGAGGGTCGGTGGGAAGGCTGTATATTCAATTCAGCTACCGAATCTTCTTTTTCGAACGAAAACAATTCAGTAGCTTCGAGTACAAGTGTCCAAACCTAGGAGGTTCGATGACATCCCTCCAAAAATTCTAGAGTACTCAGCAATAATTATTCTATAAATATATTATAAGAATATATGGATATAAAAATGAAAAAACGACTCCACAATTTTGCAATACGATCGACGTTCACATTTGGCGACTTGGTCATCGAACGTGCGTGGGAAAAAAAACTACGTGAGGAAGTTGGGTTTCATGCCTGAAAAGGCACTGTCCTGCCTTAAATACAGAAACAACGCAGCATTTGACCATAAGCTCCCACGCTTCTTGTCAAACAAGCTATTGTATAAATTTTTTTTCCGGGGGAGGGGTGTACAACTCAATTAATTATATTTTAAATTTACTTGTTATATTTTAAATTTATTAATATTAATATTTATTTTTTTATTTGTTATTTTTTTAAGTGTCCTTTCTAATTCTAGATTAATTTTTTAATTTTATTATTTATAATTATTATTTATTTTCTATTAGTTGATCTTGATCTCGTAACTTGAATTATAGATTTAAAAGGTTGGTTCGGTTCGATTACAAATTTTTGCATGAGCTTTTTTATTTTTTTCAGTATCATCATTCATCAAATGGATAGTCTAAAATAGAGTTTTTTTTCTTGGTTTATTTTCTATATGGTTATTCATGTTCTAAATTATATGTTTTGCAAGTTAATTTGGGTTGACTCTTGTATTTTTTTTAGTTGGTTTTTTTTTTCTATTTCATCCTTCAACATGGGTTGATTGGTGACCAGGCTTTGATTTTTTTTTTTTACTTTCTATATAATTATTTTGTTTTTACAACTCAATCACAAGATTTGACAAATTAATTTTAGTTAACTCAAGTCACTCTTTTTTGGTTCTTTTTTTATTAAAATTGAATATTTTCCCTTCATTTTCATCATATAATGGTGTGTTAACTGAGAATTTGAAAAGATTAACTCGGGTTATCCTAGGTGGTTCATTTTTTAAGCAATTCTTTTTTCTCTTTTATTTTTTTCCCCGATCAATGTTGGGTTTTTAATTTTTTCTTCTTTACTTTTTTTTTCAATTTATTCCTTAACACCTTGTTTGTTTTTAATTAGAATTTTTAATTTATTTTGGATGACTTTTTTATTAAGTTATTATGGACCAGACAAAATTTTTAAGATTTAGTTTGTCTTTAATTCTTGAAGCATATGTTTTTATTAATATTTAATTAAATAAAAATAGCTTTATAAAACAAAATAAGGTTTTGTAGGTTTAACTAGACTGGTTCAAGTCATTTATTTTAATATATATATATATATATATATATATATTATCAAGGGTGTGTTTTTTTAAAATTAAATTTTATAATATATATAAAAAATTAAATTTTATAATATAATTAAATTAAATTTTTAAAAGATTATTATAGTCTTATAACATGAATTACATGTTTTAAAAGCTGAACATGATTATTTAGAAACAATCCAGTTCATACTCATCTAAATATTTTAGAAATGAGTATATCATGTAATGTATTGTCAAAAGAGTATCGTCTGATTTGCATCAAGGTTTGCGTTCATGGTTCTTTTATTTTACTTATAATACCGTGATTTCATATATTTTTTTTCTTGCATGTAAAAAAATATCCAACCGGTTTTCATGGTCAAGCCAAAATCTAATTTTTGTGTATATAATCGAACAAGTTTTTATCTCTATTGTTTCTATTTCAATAGTTGAAATGCAATGATCAAACGCTACCACGAGCAGTCAGTTATCTGGGCCTTTGGCAGGAACCTTTCGAGATGTAACCTTCGGGCCAGGGCAATGAGCTGTCTTGCGTTCCTTTTCTGTCGAAGAACCAAAGGTAGGGGTGAAGGCCGTGAATTCAATTCAACAACCAAATCTTCTTTTTCGAACGAATGCAATTCAATAGCTTCGAGAACAAGTGTCCAAACCTAGGAGGTTCGATGACATCCCTCCAAAAATTCTAGAGTACTCAGCAATAAATATTCTATAAATATTTTATAAGAATATATGGATATAAAAATGAAAAAACGACTCCAAAATTTTGCAATACGATCGACGTTCACATTTGGCGACTTGGTCATCGAACGTGCGTGGGAAAAAAAACTACATTAGGAAGTTGGGTTTCATGCCTAAAAATGCACTGTCCTGCCTCAAATATAGAAACCACGCAACATGTGGCCATAAACTACCAAGCTTCTTGTCAAACAAGTTATTGTATAAATTTAAAGGGTATAAATCAACTAAGTAAATTTTAAATTTATTTTTTTAAAGTTATTAATTTAAATTTTATAAATTTCAGAATTATTAAAAGTTTTTATATATAATTATTAATTTTAAAATTTAAGAAATTAGCTAAAATACATGTAAACTAATTCAAACACCTATAATAATAATAATAATAATATAAAAAGGCTATGGTGCGCTTCCTAATAGAGTTTTATGTCTGCTTGTGCTATGCATTGATTTACCATTTATACCTGAATGATTTTTAATATTACCAAAAAATTGAAAGTAGAAGCACTATCTCGGAAAATATTATTTATTTTATTAGTTTTTTTTGTTAAATCTATTTTTTAAACAAGAACAAAACTTTTATCAGAAAATAGCGTGCAAAGGTAAAACAAAGGGCATTGTATAGCTGTCTTTACAAGGATTCAGAGACACGCACTGCAGTGAACTGAAGTGTCTTTGAAAATTACCCATTCAAGCGTTAATTGAAGACTCTCTTCTAGACTTTTTATAGCTTTGAATGGAATTCAATAATCAAAGCGTGTTTGACTGTTTCTATCTACTCTCGTGAATAATGTTCAATTTCTAGCCTTCCTTCATGCTTAAAGCTTTAAGCCTCCAAATACAGTTCTTTCATCTTTACTGGATTTTTCCGATCATCTACCAGCAAAACAAGAGAAGTCTTCTTTTATATCTTAAACAAAAAGAGAAGAAGAAGCATGGCAGATGCACTGGCTGAAGAACAGGTTGCCGAGTTCCGAGAGATATTTAGCTTGATTGACAAGGACGCAGATGGTTCGTCCTTCTACACTCTTATTCTGTTTGCGTGCTTCATAACCTTGACCTCAATAACTGAGCATCTTGTTGCAACAGCATTTGTTTCGTTTCCGTTTATGAATTTGTATTTTATCACTATTATTTTAGGAAAAAAGTTCTATTTATTCGGTCATCCTCATAGGTTTCATTCAGTATTAATTTAAAGTCATTTGTAAATTGTAACATATATACAGGTTTCATTACTCTGGAAGAACTGGCAACCATTGTACAATCGTTGGATAGATGCCCCACAATAGAAGAAATTCGAGACATGATATGTCAAGTTGATATTGATGGAAATGGGACTTTAGATTCTGAAGAATTCTTGAATGTCATGGGAAGGAAGCAGAAGGTAAATAACAATATGAAATGAATATCGATAGGTGCTTTTATATATATGCAAATGCTTATTGTTTTCTCTCTGAGACTATAGGGTTAATGCATTTGCAATTCTTGCAGGAAAATGCTACCGAGGAACTAAAAGAAGCTTTCAAAGTTTTTGATAGGAACCAGGACGGATATATTTCGGCCAGCGAGGTGAATATCATTGCTCATGCCTCTCGAATATTCTAGTCTAGTTCTGTCTTGTCTTTGTTTCCTAGACACCGAATTTCTTTGTGAAAGAAAAAAACTACATGGGACTTCGACTCTAAGCTTCGTCTACAAATTGCATAGTCAAATTTATTTATCATTTCACACATTGTTGGTATAACTTGCAGCTAAGACAAGTGATGATAAATTTGGGAGAGAGACTGACAGAGGAAGAGGCTGAACAGATGATCAGAGAAGCAGATTTGGACGGTGATGGTCTAGTTAGTTATGAGGAATTTTCAAGGATGATGGCGATGGCTTTCTGAATATAATTTTTTTTATTAATAAACAAACCACTTTATTCATATCTTGATCCTTTTTACTCTCGTAGAAGGCAGCCTTTGTGCTTGTTATTGTTGTTGTAATAACACAGATTACAGAAATAAATAAATAAAACTATAAATTAATAATAAAATATATAGACAGCAATTTCAAGCGTTGATACTGCATCCACCCTCCATATACAGTTGATATATCTCTTGATCAGTTGTAGAGAAAGTTATTGAGAGGATTCCTGTTAAACGTTAGAAATATTTGAAGGAGAAAAGTAAAAATAAAAACATGAAAACTAAAGTGAAAAATTATAATATTTTTTCAAAATAGAAAATTCTATAAACAAATATTTTTAAAAAATATTCTACACTATAATATCAAATACACATAAAAAACACACATTATTATGATTATAATAGCTTGAAGTTGAAAGGATCTTATTGCACAAATTAGTATTTCTCCTATAAATAATATTACATCTAAACAAAATCATTAAATCTAAAATCAAACTGTAATAATTTCACATACATTATTATTATTATAAAATATTATTACATGGTAGATCTGCTAAGAATAGATAGATAACTTTCAAAGAATACGAGAGATAAAAAGGCCCTTGCCAGCACCCCTCTGAGCTCACACAAGCCCAGCCAACGCGGGATGTCACGAGCGTTCTCTCATGTGGGCTCTTCCATTTGCTTGATCATGGGCTTTGCTAGAGGCTGTCTCGAATTGTATACGATATTAGGACGCATTCTGCCCAAATGGACTGAGATGTTTCTCTTTTTAGTTTGTTTTCAAATTTACTCCCATCCCCAAACCATTCATTCTCTCCGCTTCTCCTGCTGCAAGCGGAAGGTGCTTCACTTCATTCCACTCAAATCAATAAATCTTCCACACTAACGTACACACCCTAAAATTATGAACCCCTCTATACCACAAAATCTAGACGAATACTCAGCATCCGCAACCACAATCAAATTCGACCGCCCAATCCCACTCCTTCGTGGCCCTATACCCGCCGGACCGCCCGACGACCCGTCAATCGGCCCACACGTCCTCGCTTTCAGAAACCCTCAATCCTGGGCTGTCGCATACAAAACCTGCGAGTCCAAAATAATCTCCCAGTGCGAGGAAGGAGCCAGGTTTGGGTGCGCGATAGCCGCGTCAAAAAAATGTAAGCCTCCCTGGTGGCGCGGTTTTATTGGGGGAGCGAGATTGGAAGACTTGAAGGAGAGGGAGAGGTGTGAGGATCGCGAACTGGAAGGTTGTTTGGTTGCGGCTAAAGACAAGTGCGTTGGGTTTGCCAAGGAGAAATGCTGGAAGCCTTTTAGGGACGCGAGAATTGCGGTGAGGGAAGAGGAGGTTGTTAGGAATTTAGTTAGTTTGGTTTCGGTGCCGCAGCGAAGCAGTAAGTGGATTAGTTTAATTGGGTTTGGAAAATTTAATTTTGGGGTTACCAATTTCAGGGCAAGTGAATTTTTGGGCTCTAATAAAAATCATGCATGGTTTTTTAAGTCGATGTAGTGGAATAGAAGAAGAGTAGGGGGATCTGGGGTTCTGGGAATTGCATGGTTCATGTTGTTTAACTGTGGCCAGCTTTTTAAGTTGGAGATTCTGCGGTTTGGATTGGGCACTTAAGAGGTATATTTTGTAGAACTTTGCCTCACATTTTTGGATGAAGTTGGATGCTTGGTGTATGTCCTTGGCTTGTTCAATTGAATGAGACTCGTATGCACCTGCTATTGTTAGGATTTCCTTACTGCCCTCTATCTAGCTGTGAGAAATGGGGTAAGAGGTTGTTGATATTGATAAGCACATGAAGTTTGCGCACGTTGTTGTACTTGTCATGGCCATTGATCAGCGTTATAGCTTGGCTGTACGAGGATTAACTTCAAATCCACCTATTGTTTCGTATTGCGTCATATAATCTGTTTCTTGGATTGATTTACCCGCTGTTATGTTTGGTTATATTGCTGCCAACATTAATAAGAAATATAAAGGCACCATAATTTCTGTGGTGGTGAGGTTTCAGATTTATAGGAATGTACAATGATAAATATAGTAGAATATACATGCTTATCTTGTAAACTAGCTACAAAAACAATCACCTAATAATTCTCCTAAAATATTTTCTGCAATCAAGAAGATCACGTAATATGCTGCTTTCCATATCAAAGAACACAACCACCGCCATCACTGCTCCATTTTCGTTTGCTGCTTTTGATGGAAATCTGATGATAATCATTGTGGCTGACGAGCCATGAAACAACACTTCAAGTTATGTTTAATTTTCATGTTCTTATGATATCATCTTTATTCTCTGTAGACACTTGCCCGTCCAGCATTAACTGCTGCTGCTGCTTCTGTCAGTTCCGTCTATAGAAATCCGGGCACCAATAGAAGCAATGTTGCTATACCACCAAATTTGTTTTATCATTACATAATTACTTTGAATCCTGTACACTGAAGCTGAATGCAATGAGATTGGTTAGCGATCATGAATTGAAACGTTTTTTTCTTTTTCTTGTATAGTTTCAGATGATGTGACGGAAACATGCAATCTTTGGTGGCGCTAGCACAGCTGAAATTCTGAAACTACTGTCACCTGTTATGTTAGTATTTAGGACGCCATATTTCAAGATTTGAAGTGTATGTGGTTATGGAGTCTGCAAACGTGTCTGGGTTTTCAAGGTTCAAATATTCGGGCAATTGTTGGGAAGGGCTGAAGCAGATGCCTTCTTATTGTACTTATTTCCTGTTAAAGCATGGAATCTGGAGACCGTCCAAGTTTGGAGCTGGCTCAAAAACTTGCTCGATACCACTTCATGAATCATGTACGCAAACCATTTGCTTCAACACCTGATGTCAAGGTTGCAAGGTCAGTTGTTCCGTAAATTTCAGGTTTCCTTGTAAAAGTTTTATGAAATTATGTGGGAAACTGCTACTTGAATTGAGGACCCGACTGGAAAAGGAGAGAGAGAGAGAGAGAGAGAGCAGAGTGTCACATTATGTGTGTACGACACGGAGAGCGGGCTGTATGGGAAGCGGGTAAGCACGATATCTTGCTCTAGTTGTTAGGCCTTTTTAGCATTTAAATTGGGCATGAACTGTAGCCCATAATAATCGAACTTTTATTTGCTCATTGTTTCCACTCCCCACCATTCTCCATCACATGCTTTCAATTCAATTGATGGAGATTTGTGTGCTTGGATGGGAGGTAGTTTTAGCTTCTTTTTTTTTGGATAAAAAGCATGTAATTTTAGCTTTTAAAGGTGTGGTTTATGCTTAAAATATATTTTACCTTTAAAAAAAAGGTAATGATGGCTTCTGCCGCTCGCAAAGAGTCCCAATTGTGACTTTCATTTATGGACTATATATAGATATGACAAAGCCTGCAAACAAATATGGACAAGTAGCTTGGCAAAAACAATAATAATTTTATACCTGACCGTTTAACATTTACTAGGTATGTTTTACAAGTTTAGTTCTAAAACGGGTCAGCTAGTTGTCAGGAGATGCAGTTTACATTATTTTTCTAGCCATTATTTAATTTTAATTATTATATAAAGAATAACTGCTATGATTATTTTTCTATATTTCTTTTTATATATAAGACTTATAATTTTAAAGCTCTAGAGGTTAGATTTATTTCCATGCATTTTAAAAATTCTAAAAACCTTAACGCTGCACGGGGTGTCATCCTCACCTCTTTTATAAAACCCTAGTTAAAGTGTGGGGTATTTTTATTTTATTTACTGGAAACGTAAAATATATTAAATAAATTTTCAATATATGTTACGTTTTTTTTTTTTTTACATTTTTATATATTAAATAAATTTTTAGTTTTTTTAATGAACATAGAAATAATTCTTCAACTTAAAAATATTATCTTAACTCTCCAATAATCCTCTTCCATTAAATATATAAAAATAAAAATAAAAATAAAGGATGAAAAGTTTAAATTTTTTTATCCTTTTCTTTTTAACTCTTTTTTCCCTCGAGATGCCCTGACCGGTGCAAAAATGTGAGTCACTATTTTCGAGTCAAGGACAATAGTAATTTATATTGCCTAGGAATTCCCCAAGACAGGTGGCCTGAAAGTCCTGGACCAACTAGTCCCACCAATCAGCTGGTCCAGGATTTTCCAACAATCTCAAATTCCATGCAAACGTCACTCCGATTTGAATTCTTGTGTCTCCCGAATGATTTTACTAACCCCGTGAATTTTCGGCAGTAAAAAAAAATAAAACCTTATGAGGTTTCGGATATTCTCGTCACTATATTGAAGATTTTTTTTATTGATATATAATGCTATAGTCCATCTTTAAATTCAGGATTCATAACATTACATAATACTATGGCTAAACTAGCTACCATATCTCTTTATATAAATATATAGTATTGTAATATAAAATATTTTTTAATTAAAAATATATCAAAATAATTATTTTTTACATTAGCATATTGAAAATATCAATTTTTTATATAAAAATAATTTAAAAAATAAATTATAACACGTAAACAAACACTCGGATATAAAACAAGCAACAACCAATTTCACTTGAGTTAAATTGTTAATTGATTTGGAGATATCAAGGCAGAAGGGCCATTGCATTATCTCATTTTACTGGAGTTTTTTTAAAGCTTATTGACAGATATTTTCATGACATGATTGTATAATATCATTTTAAAGTTTCCAAGAAAAGTGGACATGCAAGAGATCACTAGTCTGATCCAGTTTATTATGATGATTAATTGAGGTCGGCATTTCATAAAAGAAGAAGAAGACGATGAAGAAAGTACGGATCGACAGAGATAAACCAGTTACTCATTTCAATCATGTTCAAATGGATTTTGACCAAGCTCAGCTTTCTCGTGTAAACACGCAACTATCTCTGCTTGCAGAAATGGCTAGGTATTTGTCAAGCGCTTGATAAATTAAATTATTTTGGATATCATATATCAAAGGACATGATCAATTCTATAAAAACATCAAGCAAACATTTTTATATAAGAGCGTATTTTCTTGTAAGGAGCGCACATGGTTAGCTAATGGCTAAATTTTGATATACCATTAACGCATTGATTTCCAGTCAACTACTCAACGCATTAGAAGAAGCTTAGCGTAACAGAGACAAGATTCAGCATGAATATACTAATAAAAAACACTGCTGTAATGACATAATGGATAGTGATAGTTCGTTAGACAATGTTAAGTTCGACAACAATGGAGAAATTAGCAACATTGACATATATGAGTAGTTGACATATAATTTGAACTTCGATAATAAACAGTCCAAAACAAGCAACAAGCACAACAAATTTGACATCATAAACAAAAAGTTATGTAGTAGTGTTAGTGAGTTGCTATGCTTTATTGGGGGATGAATGTCCAGATCATAGGAGTATGGCTGCTGAACATGAAAGCATGACTATGATTGCTCCTCAAAACACTAAGATCATAGGATCATGGGTGAAAACCACCCACTAAGTTCATTAGAACATGTAGGACAAAATACCCTGCTACTTAATAAAATATTATGATGATAGTTATATGTTTTTTAACCTTTCATATGCTTATTTATAAATAGGTTAAAGAGCCTTGAATGTGTAAAAAGGATGCTAGTTTAGTGTATAGAATGCAAGTTTTGTACATATCATACATATACAGATTTATGTATTTTCTTTGCTATTGAAACTAATAAAGGTTGAAATTAGTTCTTGTAATAATTTGTGTGTTTATTATATTGCATCTTTTGTACTTATGTATTTCGTTTGTCTCGCAACAAGAGTGTGGAGAAATCTCTTGGTGATGGGAAACACTTAGTTGCTAGGAAAACATAAATAGATTGATAAAAAAAAAATGATGAGTCTAGTAGAGCACTGGGTTGCCGTATAGGACCTGGAAAATTTTGACAAGAAATTTATCCCTGTAAGAATTGATACCAAAGTGCGGTTGCATTCTTGGCAGGATAATTATACTTTTTTGTTGACAAATTGAAGGACTGATTTGGGAGAGCCATTGCTGGATAGTTTATGAAACTGGTGGCTAAGCTTTATATGCACAAAGCTAGAGGTAATTCAGGAAATATTGACATATGTTGAGGGTTTGATGGGTAATATTCCTTAAGATCAAGATCATTCATTTCATGACAAGTTAGAATTGGCAATGGATATCACTGAAAAGGCTGTTGGACAATATGTCAAACTTACAGCAGAAACAAGTGGCAAATGGTAAGTTATCAAAGAAAAGTTGTCTGTCTCGAGAAAGGCAGTTATAAACGCAACCGCAGGTGTTGGATCTTTCAAGCCAAAGGTTGAAGAACCAAAACCATCTGCTAGTATAAGGAGTTATAAATGTATGAAGACTTTTTATAAGACATGATAAATTATTTTAGTGTGGCCAAGATCTATGTGGACGATCAAGTGGACATTATGGTGATGTATTTAACGAGAGATACAAAATTGTAGTGGAAAACAAAGTCTAAAGAGGACTTGAACACTAGAAGACCTAAAATGAACATATGAGAGGGTCTATAACAAGAGTTAAAGGAATAATTTCTACCCAACAACACGTCTTGGATTGCAAGGGATGACTTGAAAAAGTTGAGGTATGATGGATTGGTGAGGGATTACATAAAAAGATTTAGTTATTTGATTTTGGATATTGACAACATGTCTGATAAGGATAAATTGTTCAACTTTTTATTTAGATTTCAGCCATAAACACAGTTGAAGTTAAGGAGGCAGAAGATTTGTGACTTGTCTTCAACCATTACTGTTGCCTATGGATTAGCAAACTTTAGAGCAGAATCAACAAAGAGATTGTTGGAGCTTCTAGGTTTTTGTTAAAGCCTACGGGGAAAGATGATATGAAAAGAAGAAGAAATTTGGTAGGGAAAAGCCTAAACATGTTTATGATGATGGACAAAACCAAAATGTGTGTTTAGTGGTTGAGATGGAATTTAGTTGTGTTGTGACTAGCTTGGAGGAGGTGGATAGAGCTGGGTAAGACTACTTTGTGTGAGACATATTTAGAGATTGTCTTATGCACCTTGTCGATGGAAGATTAGGGTGATGGAAACAAGACAACAATGGCCAACAGATATGCCATACAATAATGTTATTAGGAATTCGAGGAACTTTGACAACGAAGACTGAATGGGGTGAAGAATTCGACATCCAAGTTATATAGAGATTTACTTGAGAAACCAAATTAGATGGATTTGGTTTTGTGTATTGCCTTGGTAGGGAGGCAATTCAATAGCGTTGAGGACATTAGGAGTTTGTACTTTAATGATAGATAATTTGGGTGACGGATTTAACAATCAAGTCAATAGGTTCAGTTAAGGAGTTAAAATCATCAACGAGGATTATTTAGCATGCTGCCTTGATAAAGAGACAATATGGATGACTATTCTGTACATCTTGAAGATGAGAGATTCAAGGTGATAAAAAATATATTACTATTGGCCGTTGTTGAGTTATCATGTTGCGAGTTTTTGGTAGGTGAAACATACAACAAAGGTGGGAATAATGAGGTTGTTATATCAATAAAATATGGTGCTGCAAAGATAGGAATACCGAGGTTGTTATATCAATAAAATATGGTGCTATAAAGTGATATGAAGTGTCTTAGGTATAATAATAGGCATATGAAAAGCAAGTCAGGGGGATTTAATGCAGGAATGCTACGTGTGTGTATACTTGGGCAATATTAGGACTTGCTGAAAGAACTTTGATATAAAATTATGTTAATCACCATAAAAGGATTGTCTTATTTTGCTTATAGGATGTATACGGAACAATTGAGGAGTTGAGTGAATTTTATGGGATTCACGTGATTCTTCAATGTGGTTTTATATGGTATTATTCATGAAAAAAAGGATGGAAGCTTTAATGCTTAGGGAAGTGTCTGCTTGTCATGAAACAAAACTTGTTAGTTAAGGAATTAACATATGTAATTGGTAATGAATGAGGACTACTTATATGTA